ACCGTGGTGGGGGACACTGATTATCGGCGTCGGAGGCGGCTTACTGGCCGCCTTGGCCGTCTGGTGGCTGCTGGTGCCTAAAATGCGAAGGCGCCTCTGCGACTCGTTGCACTTGCCATCAAGTAAAGCAGCGAAGAGTGCTTCATCAGGCAGCCTGTTCTGTTTTAGCCGACGTCGAAGCGCAAGATAGTCTCGGCTCAGCGACGGCTCAGCAATCGTCGCACACCTATCCGGTGAAGACTGTCGCTGACGTCTATAAACTGGACGAAATTTGTAAGTCTTCAAGTAAGTCATGGTTTGTTCTTCTTCGTAGTAGGCTACATATACTGCACTATATTACTTTTCGCATTTAACGTACTGTGAATGCAACGCGAATTTTAAAATTTTTTTTCTTTTTTATTGCAGCCATAATTTGAGGGTTCACGATCACTTTCAACTCACTCTCATTTCTGCGGTGATCATCGTTAAACATGAGACCCAGCTGGATTTCGTGAGAGAGATGGCATTTCTCGGAACTGTATACGGCCGACCTCTGACCAAACGGTCACCTACTGAGAATATGTCATGTTGATGTTGCCTAATGGCCAATGATCTTTGCCTTCAGATCCATGGTTTGAGGCAACAAGTAACAAAGGACGTTGTAAATTTCGATGCTGCACACAGCGTTGACATCAGATAAATAATATACAAATGAAATGCGGCCCGTTGTTACATAACATTTCAATGGCAGCATCCTTTGTCCGTTAATTATTCTTTTGAACAAGCTGGACGACGACGTTCCAACTGTTAGTCGAATTGAACGAACTTGTACATTCGCTACACAGTCGGTTTTGTTACCTTGTGTTTCATTTATATGTTATGTGATTCTGCCCCGATAGTGACCCTTATTAGAGGTGTTACAATGCGTCAATAAGCAAAGGAATTCTCATGGCCCTTTTTCAATTATTGCCTTGAATCATGGATAGCGAAGCGAAGACCGTCAAGTGTTATTCCAGCAACCAGTGAATCGACACGTCCTTCCATATTTTACCTAATGATTTGGAGTGCGGCAGCGGATTAGATTAATAAATTCAGAATTCCTCCAAGTCGGCTTTTAAGGCACATGGCATCGTCACCGGCTTCTTAAATGCTTTAAATCCTTACTTAGGGGAACGGTATTGCACTAGCCAGTAGGGCGTTATTAGATGGGTCCAAGCACTGCAGTTGTACATATATCATGGACAAGTAACCCGTTTGCGGACGTCCCGTGGCATCCACGGACGAGGTTGTGGCGTGGTACAAAGATAGCAGGAATGAGGAGTATATTGGTTTGTTCTGCCGTACAAACCTGAGTTTTTCCGGAATAATTCGGTATTCACATCGTCTTTTAAATGCAATGAAATCCATGAATCATCCTGCTTGATAACCTCGCCGTCGCAGGTGCCAAGCCCGGATGAGCAAAAATGAGGGTTAGCTACCTTAACGGCGACTTCTATAAAGCTCGGCAACCCGCCTCTCACGGCATTGTTATTATCGAATGTTATACCGGTTAAGTCGTCGTCTGGATTACCAAGGGCCGCGCAAGCTGATGGAAAACTGAGGCAAAACATTGGCGATCACAACCTGCTTCTTTCCTTCTGGCAACACAGCGACAGCTGTCGATGGTCGACGAGACGAAGACAAAGATATCATTATAGCACGTTGCAAAAGCTTGTACAAGAACGATGTCTACAGTGAGAGTTTACAATCGGAATTTCGAACGTCTGTTCATTCAGATGGAAAGAACATGAGCTAGTTGATGAGGCCGCAAGGTACCGGTTGGATATCGCTGGACTCTTGAGAAGAAAAGCCAGGTATCTGGAATTTTGAACCTCACAGGGTGGAAGTTATTTTATTCATGTGTCTACATCACGATGCACACTCAGACCGGTGCTGGTGTTCTGGTGACAACCAGTTTGCCTTCAGAATCGTTGAATGGAAGCCTGCCAAAAAGAGTGGCAATCACTCGGCTGAAGTCGCCACTCGATGCGGCTTTGGCCTTGTCCCAGTTGTAAGCGTCCAATTCATAGGGAGAATATGGGTCCTTCCTGGAAGAATTACAAATGGCTCTTTACGGAGTGCGTCTATGGAATCCACCGTTCTGATGGGCGATTTCAAGGTGTACGCTTGGGCAGAAACTGAAAAGTGGAACGGCGTGATTGGGAGAAACGGCCCTAGCCACCTCAACAATAACCGCATGAAGTTGTTGCGGTTTGTGCAAACAACGGATTGTTCATTATGAACACCTTCGAGCATCCAACAGTGCGTGAGTATAGCTTGTATAGGGAAACTTGGACAGAGAAGTCAATGATCGATTTGATAATTATATCGTCTGACATAATCATATCGTCTGACTTTCTATAAGGGGAGTTATTAGTA